TCTTGGGCCCGGTCTTATTCAACATCTTTATCAACGACTTGGATGATGGACTCAAGGGTATCCTGATCAAATTTGCAGATGACACCAAATTGGGAGGGTGGCTAACACCCCAGAGGACAGGATCACACTTCAAAACGACCTTGACAGATTAGAGAACTGGGCCAAAACAAACAAGATGAATTTTAACAGGGAGAAATGTAAAGTATTGCACTTGGGCAAAAAAATGAGAGGCACAAATACAAGATGGGGACACCTGGCTTGAGAGCAGTACATGTGAAAAGGATCTAGGAGTCTTGGTTGACCACAAACTTGACATGAGCCAACAGTGTGACGCGGCAGCTAAAAAGCCAATGCAATTCTGGGCTGCATCAATAGGAGTATAGCATCTAGATCAAGGGAAGTAATAGTGCCACTGTATTCTGCTCTGGTCAGACCTCACCTGGAGTACTGTGTCCAGTTCTGGGCACCACAGTTCAAGAAGGACATTGACAAACTGGAACGTGTCCAGAGGAGGGCAACCAAAATGGTCAAAGGCCTGGAAACAATGCCTTATGAGGAACGGCTAAGAGAGCTGGGCATGTTTAGCCTGGAGAAGAGGAGGTTAAGGGGTGATATGATAGCCATGTTCAAATATATAAAAGGATGTCACATAGAGGAGGGAGAAAGGTTGTTTTCTGCTGCTCCAGAGAAGCGGACACGGAGCAATGGATCCAAACTACAAGAAAGAAGATTCCACCTAAACATTAGGAAGAACTTCCTGACAGTAAGAGCTGTTCGACAGTGGAATTTGCTGCCAAGGAGTGTGGTGGAGTCTCCTTCTTTGGAGGTCTTTAAGCAGAGGCTTGACAACCATATGTCAGGAGTGCTCTGATGGTGTTTCCTGCTTGGCAGGGGGTTGGACTCGATGGCCCTTGTGGTCTCTTCCAACTCTATGATTCTATGATTCTATGATTCTATGATTCTATGATTCTATGATTCTTTGATTCTTTGATTCTATGATTCTATGATTGTGCAGATTTAATCCTGACGTGTGCATTTGTATATGTGACGTTCGGTTGGAGTATTCCCTCACGAAATTCAAAGGACTTTGTAAGGATTTGGTTCGGTTTCAGTTTGTGGAATTGTTCTGAGAAGCACAATTAGCTGACATGCAAACAAAATTGAATTTCTTCTTCATCCCTGCTTGGGACACATAGAATCACCTAACTGTAGAGCTGGAAGTGACACCAAGGTTAATTTGCTTCAAGCCTGTGCTTTTGTTTTTAACTTTTTTAAAAAAAACAACTAATAATTTCATAGTTTTATTCTTTTCATAAATCACTTTGAGGTGGTGGTGGTTGCTTTACAGTCAAGTGGTATATACATTTCCTGAACGAAATAATTACAGTGGTACCTCGGGTTAAGTACTTAATTCGTTTCGGAGGTCCGTTCTTAACCTGAAACTGTTCTTAACCTGAAGCACCACTTTAGCTAATGGGGCCTCCTGCTGCTGCCGTGCCGCCGGAGCACGATTTCTGTTCTTATCCTGAAGCAAAGTTCTTAACCTGAAGCACTATTTCTGGGTTAGCAGAGTCTGTAACCTGAAGCGTATGTAACCCGAGGCACCACTGTATCTGTCTTCAGTGGGGTGGCAGAGAACCTGCTCTGCGATGGGACCAAACCATAGCTGTCAACGTTTCCCTTTTTTAAAGGGAAATTCCCTTATTCAGAACAGGATTCCTCGCAAGAACAGGGAAAGTTGACAGCTATGGACCAAACTTCTTGAAGGACCATCTCTTCCCATCCTTCAGATCACCCAGTGGCAGTTGCTTCATTGGGGAAACTTGGACACAGCCCATCAAGCTCAGTCTGCCTTTAGGCACCCCACACCTGCCTCTCTTCTTAATACAATGAGCCCTCTAAACCATGGGTGGGCAAACTAAGGCCCGGGGACCAGATAGGGCCCAATCGCCTTCTCAGTCCGGCCCACGGACAGACCAGGAATCAGCATGTTTTTACATGAGTAGAATGTGTGCTTTTATTTAAAATGCATCTCTGGGTTATTTGTGCGGCATAGGAATTCGTTCATTTATTATTATTTTTCAAAATATAGTCTGGCCCCCCACAAGGTCTGAGGACAGTGGACCGGCCCCCAGCTGAAAAAGTTTGCTGACCCCTGCTCTAAACTAACACTAAAACCCCCAAACTGTAACCATTCCTCATAGGTGAGCTGATCTATTTCCTTGATTCTTTTGGAAGCTCCTGCATCTCTCCTCCAGGAGAGACTAACAGCAGCAAAAGGGAAATACTGGAGAGGGCAATGATAGCAAGTTCTCTTCCCCAGTCCCCTGGAAATTCCAGCTATTGGTGCAGATCTTACCAGCTCCTCCTCCTTACCAGAGCCAGTGTGGTGTAGTGGTTATGAGCGGTGGACTCGTAATCTGGTGAACCGGGTTCGCGTCTCCACTCCTTCACATGCAGCTGCTGGGTGACCTTGGGCTAGTCACACTTCTCTGAAGTCTCTCAGCTCCACTCACCTCACAGAGTGTTTGTTGTGGGGGAGGAAGGGAAAGAAGATTGTTAGCAGCTTTGAGACTCCTTAGGGTAGTGATAAAGTGGGATATCAAATCCTATCTCTTCTTCTTCTTCTTCTCTACTGCAAACCATTGCCTTCCAAGGTGTTCATTGGTGGTTCCCAGTATGTGAAACTCCTTGATCCCTGAGGCTAGATTACCTGCCTCATTGTATGTAGGCCACACACTTCTCTAACAGGTGTGGATCAGATCTGTTCAGCCTACAATATGCAGAGGTTAAATTCCACAAGTGCCTCCAGCTCTATCTACCTGTGTAGCTTTCTTCTCCTTCAGAGGTTAGGTTTTTTGAAGGTTGCTTTTTCCGTATCTCCTGCCAATTGCATCTCTGCAGCTCAAAACTTGCAGCCCCTATTGCACAGTAGGACACAGGATCAATTATGATAACGAAGGAGATCAATAAGAGTTGATCAAGAATATATTAGAATATTCAGCTGTGTAATGTTGAAAGTTCTTAATCCTTCTGCAGAGCAGAGAGGGAAACAGAGAAAGGGTGAAAGCAAAAAAAGGGGGGGAGGAATAAAAAAGCATGCTCTGGTCATCAAATTGCTTTGTGCTAATGCCAAGCCAGTGACATTCGCTGCTTTTTTATTTTTAAAGAAGGAGAAATATAGAGTGCTCAATATCCCAGCATGAAATCAGCACTTAAACCAGCATTGCTGCCAGAGGGAGCCCTGGGAAAGGTGACTTCTGGGGAGCTACCCATGGCACCTTGTCTCTTCCCACCCAGTTTGTCCACCAAACTCTGACTCACCCACAATATTCCAAGCCCCTCCCACTCACTCACTTGGCAGCAGGTGTTGCTGTTGTTCTGAATGCATTAAGTGGGCTGGAGAATGAATTTAATAATAATATAATATAATAATGATTTATTATTTATACCCCGCCCATCTGGCTGGGTTTCCCCAGCCACTCTGGGCGGCTTCCAACAAAATATTAAAATACAATGGTCTGTTAAACATTAAAAGCTTCCCTAAACAGGGCTGCCTTCAGATGTCTTCTAAAAGTCTAGGAGTTGTTCTTCTCTTTGACATCTGGTGGGAGGGTGTTCCACAGGGAGGGTGCCACTACCGAGAAGGCCCTCTGCCTGGTTCCCTGTAACTTGGCTTCTCACAGCGGGGGAACCACCAGAAGGCCCTCGGCACTGGACCTCATTGTCTGGGCAGAATGGTGGGGGTGGAGATGCACCTTCAGTGTGATAGACTTGTAATCTGGTGAACCGGATTCACGTCTCCACTCCTCCACATGCAGCTGCTGGGTGACCTTGGGCCAGTCACACTTCTCTGAAGTCTCTCAGCCCCACTCACCTCACAGAGTGTTTGTTGTGGGGCAGGAAGGGAAAGGAGAATGTTAGCCACTTTGAGACTCCTTCAGGTAATGATAAAGCGGGATATCAAATCCAAACTCCTCCTCCTATTCTTCTTCTTCTTCTTCTTCTTCTTCTTCTTCTTCTTCTTCTTCTTCTTGTATATTGGTACCCCCCCCCCTCAAGGTGCCTGGCTCACAAAGATGTGGGATATGTAATTTTCGCAAAAGGCTGGGTGGGTGATGGGAGAGAAGGAGTAGAATTTGTTTCTGGTTTGGAATAAAATCCGAGCCAGAGAAGAATTTGGAGGCTGTAATGCTCCTGTTTCCTTTAATGGGCTGGGTGTCTACACTTTATTTAAATTTTCAAGAAAACACATGATCTCGCACCTCCAGACTTCTGAGTTAAACTCGGTGGTAGAGCATCTGAAAGTCCCAGTTTCAACCCCAGTATCTCCAGGTGGGGCTGGGAGAGACTCTCTGTCTGAAATTTTGTAGAGCTTCAACCGGTCAGCATAGACAATTCTGCGCTCTACAACCCCGGTGCTCAGCTCCCTCTCTCTGATTCAAATTGTCTTCTTTACTGACCTCTCTGCATGCCTTTGCCATTAATTGGGTTAATATTGTTGATGCCATGATCTCCTCTTGGACTATCCTGGGCATTTTTGCTGCTCGCCGTGTGTCTGAGCAGCCTTTAACGGGAAATTCGGATGGAACTCATACTGCCAGGGGGCTGTGCTGCAAATTGGCAGCGGCATGCTGGAAGGAAACAGCGTGTCTGCAGATACCAGGGAAAGGTCAGCCCTGGGGAGCTGTGCAAGCCTGGCAGAAAGGCATCCAAATGACCCAGTGCTGTCGAAACCCAGCAGGGCTGCTGCAGGGGGTCTGGCACCAGCTGGCCTCTGGAGAGCAGAAATCCCTGCAAGCGAAGAAGAGACGATTTGCTCAGTGATCCACGTGACAGACGAGGAAGCAAAGCGACGGAAGGGCAAAGAGAAGGGAGCAGTGCTATTTTGGAATCTCAGCTCCTGTCCCTGGGACCTTCCAACTTTGGGCGACTTAATGGGCTACAGACAAGCATTGCGTTAGATCTGCTTCTTGTCATTCCTGTCCATTTCTTGGGAAGGGCCGTAGCCGAGTGGTAGAGCAGCTGTTTTGCAAGCAGAAGGTCCCAGTTTCAATCTCTGGCATCCCCAGGTAGTGGGAGAGACTCCCCATCTGAAACCCTGGAGAGTTGGTTCCAGTCAGTGTACGCAATAATGAGCTAGATTGATCAATGGCCTGAGTATAGCAAAGGGCTGTAGTTTGGTGACAAAGCAGCCTATCTTCATGCAGAAAGACCCAGGTCCAGTCTCCAGCATTTCCAAGTAGGGATGGGAAATGACTTGTGTACAGTAGTAGTAGTAAATTTATATATTGACTTCTGGTGGAACGCTCTGTCACAAGAGTCTAGGGCCCTGCAGGACTTGACATCTTTCCGCAGGGCCTGCAAGACAGAGCTGTTCCACCAGGCCTTTGGTCAAGGCAGTCTGACCCCCTCCTTTGGTAATCCTCACAGAACTCTAGCCCAATGGTTGCCATTAATTTGACTCTGAATTGATTTTAGAATGAATTGATTTTAGAATGCTGTGTTACTTTTATTGTTGTTAGCCACTCTGAGCCTGGCTTCGGCTGGGGAGGGTGGGATATAAATAAAATTTTATTATTTATTTATTTATTTTACCCTGCCCATCTGGCTGGGTTTCCCCAGCCACTCTGGGTGGCTCCCAACAGAAGATTAAAAACCTTATCAAACATCAAACATTAAAAACTGCCTTCAGGTGTCTTCTAAAAGTCAGATAGTTGTTTAGTTCCTTGACATCTGATGGGAGGGCGTTCCACAGGGCGGGCACCACTACCGAGAAGGCCCTCTGCCTGGTTCCTTGTAACCTCGCTTCTCGCAGGGAAGGAAACGCCAGAAGGCCCTCGGAGCTGGACCTCAGTGTCCGGGCAGAACGATGGGGGTGGAGACGCTCCTTCTGGTGTACTGGGCCGAGGCCATTTAGGGCTTTAAAGGTCAGCACCAACACTTTGAATTGTGCCTGGAAACATACTGGGAGCCAATGTAGGTCTTTCAGGACCGGTGTTATATGGTCTTGGCAGCCACTCCCAGTCACCAGTCTAGCTGCTGCATGCTGGATTAGTTGTAGTTTCTGGGTCACCTTCAAAGGTAGTTCCATGTAGAGCGCATTGCAGTAGTCCAAGCAGGAGATAACTAGAGCATGCACAACTCTGGTATGTATGGAACCCTGGAGAGCTGCTGCCAGTTGGTGTAGACAATATTGCGCTGGTTTGGTCTTTGTGAAATCAGCATGTTGTTAAGTCTGACTGGCTACAGAGCATCATTACACTATCCTGCATACATCCTTCACTGGCTGGGATCAGCTGTGGTACTGATGCAGGAAGGAGAGGCCACCGAAGGAAACAAATGGTGACCCAACAGCAGGAAAAGCAATGGTGGTGAACAGGGTTGAAAAACATGAATCTTTGCACAATTTAGAGATTTACCAGGGCTACTGAAATTTGACTGAGCTGCAGATTCCCACTGTCCCCCAGTCTAAAACAACTGGGATATATAAGTTGACTTACTCACCTAGTCAGTTGCAGTTATTCTGCAGATTAACTTCCGACAGCAAGGGGCAAAGTTTGAAGCAAATCTATTTTTTTTTTAAAAAGAAATCCTTTGACATCCCTTCTTGTGATGGATTCCATCTCCAAGATCCTTCACCATCAAGATCATTGGAGTCATGCAGCCCAAGTGATAGTGACTTACCGGAGTGCCGTTTTCCCAAGTGTCTAAACGCTGAAGTTTTATTTGAAGATCAGCAGATTTCGTAAAGGCAAGCCTTGCCTTGTGATATCCCTTGTGTGACAGACGAGCCACCCAGCTTAACAGGGGAACATCTGCATCTTCAAAGGGGAAAGCAGAGATGTGCTTTGACCCCGAGACTCTCAAGAATACAGGTGGAAGTCTTTTGATTTGATTTCATCAAAGGGAAGAGGAGTTCAGACACTTCACTTTCCATTCCAATTATGCCTTTGGAGAAAGACCAAAAAAGAAAGAAGAGGCGAGGCTTTGACCAGAGAAGGGGGAGGGAATGAGAGAAACCACAACTCTTGTTGTCAAAGGAAAGTGAAGGAAGATCAGCTGACCTGTGTTTATTCCGGGCAAATTGTATTCCGGGATTTCGTATATATCTATTTTGGTCAATGACCAGAAGAACTCTGGGATAAGGAATCCTATCTATAGCAGCAAGGGTATTGTTAGGTGGTGACTGGGGGCACCCAGGTATTTTATTGGCCAACCCCCATACTTCCTGTCCCCTTTCCCCTTCTAACACCCCTTTTTGAGGGGGTGGGAATGCTTTAAATGGCAAACAGGGTGTGCTAAAAATTGCAATGCCAAAGAGATGTCACCTTTCCTGTCACCTTCATTTGCCCAGGGGCACTCTATACATTTCTGCCTGTGCCCTGAGTACCTTAAGTGCTCCTGGCCTGCAGCTCTTCCATTTTCATTCAGTTATCTCAGATGCATGAAAGGGCAAAGGGTTGTGTTTCAGTGGCAGAGCCTCTGCATTGCATGTGGAAGGCCCCAGCTTCAAGTAGGTCCGAGAACGTTCCCTGCCAGTAACCCTCCAGTGTCCACACCATGGGTGTTCCAATGTAACTTAGAAAAAGAGACATTGCACATACTTTTGTAAACCAAGGAATCTTTAATAAAAAATACATTAAAAAGAGAGAGAGAGACTCTACAGTGGACACTCGGGTTGCAAACGTGATCCGTGCGGGAGGCACGTTCGCAACCCGCAGCGCCGCATCTGCGCAGGTTGTGATTCGGCGCTTCTGCGCATGCGCAAAGCGTGATTTAGCGCTTTAACCTATTCCGGTACTTCCAGGTTCAGCGTGGTGCGCAACCCTAAAACACACAACCTGAAGCGTCTGTAACCTGAGGTATGATTGTACCTTGTTTTCTCTGCTCTTGCTGCCACCGGGGGAGGATTAGCTTTCCCAAAGCCTTGAGAGAGCCTTGACATCATGTCAAGTCAAATCACGATGTCATGATGGCACGGCACACGTGTGCACTCCTGCAACGAGACATCCCCTTGGCCCAGGGCCTAGGTTGGGGTCTACTGTGGCCACACCTGCACCCTGAAAGTATTGGCATATGGTGGGTGGCAGTGGGTGGCAGTGGGTGGTGCGTGGCTGGGCAGCCACGGCAAAAGAATTGTGGGTGTCTGGAGTTGGCACCAGTGTCTGCAAACATGACACAGTATCCTTCCAGATGCCTTTGCTGAAGTTTTCAGCAACTGGTAATGAGAAGCATACTGCCTCCAGCTGTGGAAGCGCTACATAGCCATCCTGACTAGTAGTCATTTTTAGCCTTCTCCTCCTCCATGAAGTTGTCTAATCCTCTTTTCAAGTCATCCAAGTTGGTGGTCCTCATTGCCACCTGTGGGAGCGGATTTCATGGTTCTTTATTTAGTCTGTTCAGGCAAGATGCCAAAATAGGAGACATTTCCTGATCAACTTAAGCTAAGCCCTGTCCAATTTCATTTTAGAAATTAAGCGCAAGAAATTGCACACATTTTTATGATCGTCATCCCAGCGAAGTTAGCACTTCAGAAGCTAACAACCAGGTCTGTGTGTGCTGAATCTAAGAGAAAACAGTGGCATTTAATATGAAATGAATGCAAGCTGCAGGCAGACACATGGCAGAGAGAGAAAGAGGAATATTCCCCTTGTTTTAACACTTGCATATTTCTGAATAATTATCAGGCACTTTTCGGTTCCCCTGGTGGTGGCTTCTTCTTGGTGTCTCATTTGCCCCCATTTAGTCCAATCGGTTTTGCATCCACTGCAAATCTGTTTTTGTTCATCCACAAGGTCATCATATTAGGGGGGGAAATGCGTCTGACGAAAACAGTGCGACTTGACACGGCTAATCAAATTAAATGGAGGTCTGGGCAAATGAGGTGAAGGACAGTGAGAGTAAAGAAGAGGCTGTCATGAAACAACGGCAGCCCAAGGAACAAAAGGCCACAAAACAGCAGGAGAGCAACAGAAATGCACAGGGATGGAGGAAAATCAGGAGTGATCTACATCTGTCAAAAGTGGGGTGGGTATGAAGGATGGGGTTGGGCAGCAAAGAGAGGGGTGGAGAAGTGGATGGTGCAGGCAAGACTCTGACTTCATCCTCTCCTTTTGGCTGTTTAAAGCGGTATGATACTGCTTCATGTGTATTGTGCAGATGGGGCCATAGTCTAACCAGCACATAAGCTTTGTGGAAGCAGAACAGGACAGATGATGATAAACAGGTTGTCTCAGGAGCCCTAAATGCCTTCAGGCAGGGCCGGGTTTAGATTTGATGAGGCCCTAAGTTACTGAGGTAATGGGGCCCTTTATATGTCCAGCTGTCCTTTGTCAACAACAAATTGTCGCTGTTTTTTGTGTTGAATATATGCTATGTGGTAATTTATGGACCTAATAAGTATTTAAAACCATTTGCACATGCAGAATGTAGGCACCCTATATATAGAAATAAGCAAACCAGTGATATTTTAGGGAGCAGACTAGTAGGCGGGGCCCATTACTTACATCATAGGACCCTACACAACACAAAACACTGCTGCTGTATGTAGGTTTCATTTTATTTGTTTTTTATCTTATATTTTGGAAATGTACATCCAGGGTTTTCCCCCCTTAATTTTTCTTTGGGGCCTCCAAGAGAGTGGGGTCCTAAGCTATAGCTTGTTTAGCTTAATATACATAAATCCGGCACTGGATTCATGACATTTCTACTAATAAAATGCCAGTTTACCAATTGTCCTTGGGCAACTTTATTAAATTTACTTGTAAGATGAAAACAGCCATGACTTCCCCCCAAAAGTCTTGGGAAGTGTAGCTTTGTCGAGAGTTGTTAGGAGACCCACTTAATCCCCTTGCGCAGCTTCAAATTCCAGAATTCCCTCTGAATAAGGGATTGATTGCTAAGCCACTCTGGAATTTATAGCTTTGGGGGAGGGGGACTAGGAAGGCCTCTGAGCATCTCTCAGCACCCAGGACTCTTGAGGGGAAGCCGTGACTCTTCAAAGTGGTGTGCTGCTGCTTCAAATGGGACAGGTAAGACAGAGGGCATTTTAAACAGCCAGCCGTGGAT